TCTTCATGTACTTAAATGTGATGATTTTAGATATTTTTTACCGGTAGGAAAAAAACCCAAATGTTTGATCATGAAAAATGTGTTACTTTACAAATTGACGTATTGTCAATATTAACAAAGGTAATATCCGTTCTATGTCGATGCCATAAATCCTGATGAGCTAAATTGTTCCATACTTGAATGTTTTACGTGAAAAATACGTTAATGGTTATCTAATACCAAGATATATTGATACAGATAATAAGTAGTTTATCAATAATTTTATGGATTTCTTGACCAATTATTACATAAATAATTACATGTATTTTCTAAAATGAAAGTCACATAAGTGGCAAAGTGCAATATACCAAAGTGTCTTGTTGTTTATAAAAATGGAGATTGGAGGCAGTTTCTTAAAATTCTGCGAATATAGTACAATAATTGTGGGAGTTGGGTTCACGACAGTGCACAGTAATGTTAATGAATGAAAGGTCCTACAGATAAATTAATTTTATCAAAATGTATTTGCACTGGAAATTGTACATAAATATACTTAACAAAGGGAAATGTTTATGACAGCTTACTAGCCTTGTGTCGATTCTTGCTTATTTCAAGTTAACCTGATTTTTGATTCGGTTACAAACTCAGTGTTGTGTACACTAGCTTGCTCTAAGTCCAAGCATTGTTTCCTGCTTAGTTATGCAAACAAACACATTTGCGATAGCTGTCACAGAAATAAACAGAGATATAGAGTAAAATTTAAAAAATCAATTATTATAATCAAACTTTGCATTAATTCATGAAATTGATTTGCAATCTTACTAAGTCTAGATAATAATTGAAGCCGATGAATTATTGTGTATGTATTATTTCTATATTGCTTGTTGCTTTGTTATCTACCTTATTTTTATTTAACAAAAAATAAACAGCACTTCGTTTTCTTAAAAAGGGACAGGGCAATGCTATTTTAATATCAGTAATACTAATTTTTGTCATCATGGTTACATCATGCTCTAAACAGGGCATTCGAAGACATAGCATAACATTAGACATAGTTTAAAAATCACTGGAAAATTAAAATTAATTTTTGTAAGCGTGTTTCTGTAAAGTAAAATGTTACTTATTGTTAAATTTTGATGTCTTGTTCAGAGTAATAATTTTATTGTTGCAATTGTAAAATGCATAATTTATAATGTTTTTTGAAGCAAGATAAAAAAGATGTTAATTTGCAAGTTTTAGAGTGCATGTTTGTCGTACTTTGTAATTAAAGTTATGTGCACTTCACTGTGACATTTTGCCAATGCAAATAAACATAGGTGAAATTAACTATTTGTTAAAGAAGTACAGTGATTTTCTAAAATTGATTTAAAATTTAAAGTTGACAAGGGTCTATCTAATTCCAAGGGGTGATTTTAATTTAAAATGTTTTATATAAATGTGCTCATAATATCAAAATAATATTGTAAACACGGAATAATATTTTCATTAAGCAAAGAAATTAAAAAGATTGTTTCTATTTGAGCTGAATACCGTGTGTGGCCCCTTTTTAGACCCTTCTTATATGACATAACTTATGCACAGTCTATTTAATTTACCCTCATTATTTATCTTAACATCTGTGATATACTCTAATAGCAAATAAATACATAGAAAACGGTGCTAAAATTTTGAAAAAAAAGTCTTAAGAAATGTCCATTTTCTTCTTATTAGTCAAGAATGTTGCGTTTTCTATCATTCATAGACGAAACAAAGTTCATTTTATTTTAAATTCTTATGGAGTATCCAAACAAGTAAGGCCTTTAAAATGACGTCAAAAGAGGGAAGAGATTTCCTTTTTCAACATTCTATAAAGTTTTGCCCCTGAAAAAGAAACTGGTAAAGATTTAAGAAATGTTTAAATTGGCTACAGGGAAATATAATATGCATCCAAAGTAATGTCAAAATAGATTCAAAGAGAAACAGGGTGCACAGTTTATGTCGATTTGTAGTCAAGGTATGAAAAATCAATCACGTCAAAAAATAACGTTGATCAAGTGTTGTAGATATTGAACTCCCAAAATCAAAATATTCTGGCACCCCAATCAAGCGAAGATCTCCCCCAATGTATAAATCCATTTGGAAAATTATATTCATTGAAAGCCGCAGGTCATGACATTCTAAATTGATGTAAACAAGTTTAAGTCCTCACTAAGCTCTAGGAAATCTCATCAAAATATGTTTTGTATAAGGTAGAAAAAGACATTGAAAACTAGTTACGTTATCCGACGTCATGAAACCAATCGGTGACAGCGCCAGATGATCATAGATTGTCGTTTTTATTTTATAAAAATTTGGCAAATAATGATCGTATCAAGCTAAAGGTTTCAAGATTTCTTTACGTTTTGATGTTTTATGCTCCAAATCAATTGTAAAGCACAGACTTCTTAAAACATATTTCAAAGCCTCAGTTTAAGAACTTTTTGATAACCCTTTTATGGTAATCTCTCTCTCTCTCTCTCTGATTTAAATATTATAGGACATTACAAAATAAGAATTAGCATTTCTACTATTGTTATTGTGATTGAAATTCAAGTCACGTGGTTTAGGTTGACCTTTTCAAAGGTCAAAGGGTAGAACCGGTTTTACTAACAAATTGGCAGTATTTAGGAAAATGTTATAAACTATTTCCATTGAAAACATGTCCTATAAAAATTACTTTCCAGTCCTTTCTGAAAGACATGATTTGCAACAGAAAAGTGTTGCTAAAGGGGGGATAACAATAAATCTCATAATTATTTGCGGCGAAAATTAGAGGTCACAAGTGACCAATACGCGCTGCTTAAAAATGTTAAATATCAACTACACTGAAAAACCTTTGTTTGCCTTACAAAATGGATACTGTTATTATTGTGCAAAGAGGATCTTACCGCCAGCATCTGACCATTCGTTGAATGAATAGCAACGTTTACGCTAAAAAAAAATGTTTTTTTTCGTTGAATGAATAGCAACGTTTACGCAAAAAATGTTTACATTTTACTTCGAACATGTGGTTCAGATTAAAATATGATCATGTCAATGGAGTGTAAAATAAAAAGAAAATCTTCTTGTGAACAAAATACAAATATTAGAAACTATGGAAAATTATCTTTGTGCCTTTCCGATCGCCAGAAAAATTTTCTTTTTTCAAGCGTAGAATTCCTGTAGTGTTCATACAAAAATCATTATGCATTTCTCATTCAGCTGATTTGTCAGTCAAATTCATTTTGGTGCCAGATTTGCTTATCTGACGCCAAAACATATAGTCCCGGTTTCCATGCAAATATATTATCCAAACAGAAATTATAATTCATGACTGCAGAAAATTGTATCAAAGAGAATTCGTAACTTATTTTAGGTTGAGTGAATGCAATAGAGATCGATTGAAGTACATTCTTACATATATTATATTGTGGTGAACACTGAAAGGCGGCATAACTTTTCTGTTTACCATGTCTCCATGCGATTGCCATTTCTAGCCACATTTCCGTGAATAATTTACCCCATCTCGCTATAGTCTCGCAAACTCTCGCCAGATCCACTGCCAGAGCTACTCTGAACTCATCGGGTTTTATGATCTGCAGAACACCGAAAATATAAGGTTCCGAACACATCAGTAGGGGTGTTTAAGCTAAAGTGCTATTTTCTGGTTTTGGACTAGGAGAAATATCCAATTATATTTGATTTTATGTCCTGTATATTTAAATGTAAGAGATTAAAAAGATAATTATTTTCTTTCCTCATTACATCGTTCATCTTTGAATCAAAATAGTAGACTGAGTTTAAAATCTAATAGGGACTATATTTTTGGCGGAATGACGGCGTATGAAAATATCTCTCTTTTGATTTTCACATACGATAAAATAACATATCAAGAAACAAAATGATACTCAAAATTAATATCAGACAATTAATTCAGTCAAAATTTTTTACACAATAAAAAACTTAAATAGATTTTCAAAATTAAATATTGCAATTAATTGGAAGCATATAAAAGTCATTAATATATCCTTAAAAGAAATTAGTTTTTCGGATTAGCCATAATCCAGGTTAGTGAATCTTTAATGTTAATTTGTTAATATAATGTCATACACCTTATATTTAATATCTTTTATGCAAAGAGATACATGTAACATGAAACCTTTTGAAATTGAAATTATAGACATCGCATAATTTGCAACAATTGTTTTTTTTATTCTTAATATCCAGAAAAATAATAATGACATTTATTTGACATTGTGTCTAATATAAAACCGTCAAATTCAATCTAAATGATACCATCACTAAATGATATTGTCTTATTGATTCTTTGCAAATTGCATTAATCTATAGATTCAAGAAATATAAGAATGATTCATACCTTAATATATTTTGATTTAGAGGGCCAGTAATATTAAGAACAGGTACATGTAACCGCACTTAAGATTTTAGCCTTTGACGCATATACTTATCATATCTAAAGAGGAAAAGTGAAAATGAATTTTGAAAAATAAAAGTAGTAATATTTGACGGAAGTAACAATACCCTGGATGAAACAATATGATGTGTCAAAAGATAAAAAAGAAAGCATGTCTCCGTCGCCTTCATTAAAATGCTGTTCGGAGTTACCCCCTTGCAAGCCCCCCCCCCCCCGGTTCCGACGCCTGTGCATACAAAGTACAAGGCACGTGGTTGAACATTCATGGTTGTCCATATATACGGGAATCACAGATTGTGTAATAAATATCAGCTATTTAAAAAGAAACAAATTATTATAATCATAATGCACTTTTGTACAAATGAATATTTTAATGCATAAAATCTTTTGTATCCTCATTATAACATACGTAGATTTAATTTACAAGGTAAATCATGATGCCACAATCAGTGGTTTTTGGGATCTTGACACAATGTCGATTTATGTACATTCAATTTTGGAAATCCTTAGACAGCAAAATAGAATTCCCTGTAGTGGGAGGAGCTAACAGAAAGTATAAATTAAGAATTGTGAATTTATATCTACAATGATCTTTAGACTTATCCAGGATGTTAGGAGGAAGTACTGTCGTATTGGTGTGTGTGGCCCTGTTCTTGGTAGCCCCAAGTGAAGGTAGGTAAATTGAAATTGGGTTTTTAAGTTGGTAATGTCTTTAAAAGGTTGTACTGTCAATATGTTAGCTGGCATTAACCAACAGGAAATTGTCGTCAAGTTTAAATTTAACGTTTAAAGAAAAGAATCCATTCAGCATACTTTACTGTAAGCGAGAAGCAAAACAAGGAAAAATTGGCTAACCCTTAAGTTTAACATCTTTTACTTCAACATATTTGTCAAGGTTATGAACACTTTCCTTTCCAGGTTATGCGATAAGATTTTAAAGAAAAGTAGAAACAAATATTATGAATCAGCAACCTTAAGTCTTCGCTAAGTTTTTCCCACCTAAGACAAATTTTCAATAAGAAAAATGCAATTTTTCTTACGAAAATGTCTGATGATAATCAAGTTATCATTTAAAAAATTACATATTTTTTTTTATTCAATTAATCTTAACAAAAATTATACTTTTTATTAATACAAAATAGATTAGCACGCAAGGAACAATGAAGAAAAATAAATGAAGCATTCAAAAATTGTCATATTAGTAAACATGCAATATATGTTATTTACTGCATGTTTTGGTTTAATCTGTTGTTGTTTTTTTTTTTTTTTTTTATTTTATTATACAGTGATATATTTTCGCTGCTTATTCAATTATTTAGTAAGCCAGGTATAGACAAATGCCATAAATCAACATCTAACTCTTCACTCAGTTTGTACCAATTTCAGACAAAGAGAGACAAAAGTAAGTCTGGCGATAAGTTATCATTTAAAATAATACTCAAAATATATTAGACAAAATTTTATTCGATTTTACTTGAGTAAAGATAAGAAATAGATTTGGAATCAATGAACAGTGGAAAATGAAAATTATGAAGTTGTGAACAATTGTCTAATTTATTTTTTTTGTTCAGTGCTAAAGTTTAATAGCAAATAGCGCCTTTGCCGATGATTTTTTCTGCATTATTTCAGTAAGTTTGTCATGTGTTTATGTACTTATACACCTCTCTTCATATAAATGTTTTGTGTCACTTTTTATTTTATATCTTTAAAACAAATGAATTTCAATGCTTACGCATGTTAAATCTTAAGGGTGATGAATGAGGTAGGAAAGAGCTTTCAGTAATTGTAATTTCGCAAAATTCCCGTGCAATAAATGGGCATAATTGCATATTACAAGTGAATTATGTACTAATTTGTGATTTGATCCGCACGGTAAGTAGCGTACATTTGACACTTAATTGTTTCACAAAATTGGCTCTTTTATATACCTGATTATTACTTTTTCCATTAATTTATTGCATAATAAGATTTTAAAGGGGGAAAAAAGTATCAGTGGATATGAAATAAAATTTCTACATTTCAATTCCCTTTTTAGGATCTTATTCCAATAATGGATGTGCCTGTGCTCAATATTGGGATCCTGTGTGTGGTGTAGACGGACAGACGTACTCCAATACTGGATGCCTGGCATGCGCGTATGTGAAACACTTTATTAAAATCTATTTTCCTTTTATTTACTGAATTTCAAATAAACATCTATGTTATTATAGGAAAACGTAACTGGAACAATTTCCTTTCTATTTTAACAAAGCTGGGAGGAAAATGCATAAAACACGTGGTTAACAATCTTGTTTATCCTACTCACATGAAAGGGAAATATTTAACAATAATGATATATGTACAATCAGTTAAATTCTTGATTCTTACACTCTCAAAATATGTCTTCCAGAAAAAAAGTAAAAAAAAAATGCATACCTTTCAAAGCATTATCATATTTGAAAATGATTTTATACGAGATAATTTTTACATGCATTTTCTTTTATCAACAGTCGTATCCCCATGGCTTGTACAGGAGAATGCCCTTGCTACGGACGCTACTGAACACAACACTTTCAACTTCTGTCAACCGTGACCTAAAGGTCTAGTGCATAGGACTCTTATGTCTGTAAAATGAATTTTCTTTTAATAATAAAAAGGTGAAATTCTAAATCAATTCATTACTTATTTTGTTTTACACTCTTTTTCATTCCACTCACATATCAACCTAGCACCTTTGCAAAGGTTGGCAAATTAGGGGCATTACTTTTCTATACGGAAAATGTTCAGCACAATTTAGAGCAAATAAATCAGGTTATTGAAATGATTCAGATACAAAAAAATCCTCACAGATAATGGTTCTTGTGGTGAGGATTGTAAACAGACATTACCAGATTTACATAAATTCTTGGTTTGTTTCGCCTGTAAATATTGCATGGCTCATCAGTTAAAAAATGCTAGATTCCATTCACTCCAGGATGTATACAAGTTTGGTTGAAATTGGTCGAGTGATTCTGGTGAAGTTGAAATAGGACCTCTAAAGAGACTACACATGGCATTCAGAGAAATTCTAGGAAAAAAAATGGAATTTTTATTTTGAATTTTTTTTAATAATTATATCTTACAAACTAAAGGAATTACAATGGGAACAAAAGTTGCACCGAGATACGTTACATTTATCTTAGGTTACCTTGAATTCATACTTCACCGACATCTCATAAGGTTGTGGGGAGAGATATAGTCTAAAATCTAAGTGGAAATATTTTTTGGATGAGTGCTTTATTTCATGGGATAAAAGTGTCGATAACCTTTTTCTATGAACTATTAAATGAGTTACATGCTAACATGAAAATTGCAATAGATACCAGTGAAAATGAATAACCATTCCTAGATGTCCTCGTCAGTAAATGATTGTTATTGATATCTATCTACAAAGGATGTCTGGTTCTTTGCATCAAATCACAAATTAGTACATAATTCACTTTGCATCCACGCCGCACTAAATCATCCATTCCTTATTCCTTATAACCTGGCCGGTGAATATGCGCCATCATCAGTAAAAAAGGTGTAAGGGGCATTCTTTTATGTCACTTGGAAGATCAGAATTACTTTTGCCAAAGGATGAAATTTAAGGAGAATATTATTCCCTTTGAGCATACACATAATTACTATAACCAGAACATAAACCCCATCGTTTACCAACTGAACACGACTCTTTGAGAGGACCAAACACCAAAGACAATTCATAAAATCGTACAATTTACCTCAAGTAGACATTAACTCAAGAACCTGAAAAGAATAGTATGTAACTCGAAGTTTGAAGGAAACAATTCAATAACTAAATGTAAAAAAAATTTCAATACAGAATCTATGACTATCTAACTGATGGAACTTGTTATAACTGTAACGGCCTAAGATTTTCAGTGAACGCCAATACATGTATATCGTTTGATACACAAAATGGTTTATATATGATAACCTGTCTAGGAGTGTAGTGGATATCATATTGTTGAGACGAGCAATCTTCTATATCAGCCCTCGTACAATATTAGCCCTCTATATTGGTGTCACGGGCTGCTACAGGATGTGATATGGAAAAGGGTATGTCTTGAGTGCATGTGTGTGTGCGGAGTGTACTTCTTTAGGAAATTTTGGAAGTTTTTTTTTTATTAATTTTTTCACATTAATTATTATTTTGACGATTGAAAAAAAAAATCAAAAGAAAGAAGGGAACTGAGGACTAACCTAAATTTTCATAATATCTGAAATCCTTTTTTCTTTCAACATTACAATTGTCCGAATTTTAGTGACATTTGATTACACTGTGTATTAAATATATATGCTTTTAATATTTGAAGGGGAATATGAATATACAAAATATATTTTTAGACAAACCTTTAATCAGAAAATGCCTTACCTTTGGTATTGATGCAGTAGTTCCAGAACTTGCAGTCGCCCGCTTGGCTCAGTGGTTAAAGCGTCTGCTCTAGAGTTGCGAAGTTAGGAGGTAATCTTTATGTCGCGTTTTCGAATCCCACTGTGGGCCGTAGTAAAAGGTCAAAGAAGGGTATGAGGAATTAATCGTATTTATAATGGTAAGCATTACATACCTAAAACTGGAGACTGCACTGTGTAAGAAAAAATAAAAGTTCATTTGATATCGTATCGTGCGTAAAAATGTAATTAGCCCAGCTATTTTTAAGGATTCATAAGAGGAGGTGAATGCATTAGACATACGAGAATTACTACTGATCCTACGATATTAAATGCAACACTCCATGATTTCAAGACGCACTTGTCAAAGCGAGGTTACTTTACTTATGAGGTAGGTCCTGCTATCAACAAGTAACAATATTACCGATCCAAACACATTTTCAAAGATAGATAAATAAAAAAAAACTAACATATCTTTTACAAGTCTAGTTAATATATGTCGCTGATTTTGAAAAAAAAGTAACATCATAAATATTCTGGTCTTTTTAAAAGCTTGAAATTCGTACCTACTCCACTAGGAAGAAATATCTTGATAATGATTTTTAAATTACTTCATCGTGCTTGTCAGATAACGCAGATGCAAGTATCGTTATGACGAGGGAGAAAACTTCCCTGCAGAAAGCCATCTGTTTACAAACCTCTACTCGCTTGTAATGCCCTAGAGCAGTACATTGACAAAACCAAATTAGAACTATCATTTATTACGCCACAATATTTCTAAATAAGAAAGAGAAACACTTAATTTTCTGAGAGAAAATTACAAATATGACTCAAGAAAACCGTAAATGAAATCTCTTTTTTACAACCAAAGTACTAAGTTCAAGTGAAAATCATTGCTTTATCTTATAATTTTTTCAGAAGCTCCTGCTTTGCCAATGCCTGTAGCTGCAATGTCACATACAACGGAAATGTTATTTAATACTTTTAAAACTCTCCATAAATGACTTGAATAACATTCAGGAGTTAAAATCTTTTTTTCTAGGCCAATGTCCAATTTTTAATAAAAATGGCTATATTCATAGATAAAATGTCACAGTCCCAATTGCAACGTACATAAGTGATGAAGTCTACAAGTGTACAATGTATGTATTTTTTATACTTATGTTTTAAATATTGTTTTGAATTAAACGAAACATGCAAGGGTATGATTAAGCCTGTTTATTTAAATAACAAACTTAAAAAAATTAACTTTTTTAGTATTTAAAAACAAAAAAGATAAGGCATAGAGGAAATAAAGCATATCTACTAATTACGAGTAAGGGCAAGATTTCAATAGATTCAGTTCGTTTTAGACCCTGTTTGCCTTCAAAGGAATTCGACTTTCACTTCAAGGTGAGATTGTTTTTTCATTTATAAATCATCTTTTCATGAACGAGGTTTGTCCCAAATTTTCGAAGACAAGCGTTAAATTTAGAATTTTAATAAATCTTTGCACATACATTAAATCAACACAAACTAATTAATGGACAAATATGGAGTAACATCACAAATTAAACCTACTAAATGATGCGGTTCATTGTCTGGTGTAGGAAAGTGGCTCTTTACCCAAAAGCTGAGATTAAAAATCGATATATTTACCATATAGCCCTTGTATTTAAAATGACTGAAATGTTTCCCTATATATATGTGAATAACGAAACTATATAAAAAAAGACACGCTTTAACAAAAAAGCAAGAGTGACACTGTGCATTTCTATAAGAGAAGACAGGAAAAAAACCGGTAGAAATACATGGTTTAGTTTTTTTTTATACCTATACATATGTACGGTATCCTTTGTGTGCATATTTTTATATTGAATCATATTACAGTAATTAAGATACATGTATCCCCCACTTGAAAAGCTATCGTTATGTCGGTCCGTCCGTCTGTCTGTTACTCTTTGGGATACCCATCTCTTATTGCAACTCCTCTTATACCACTGAATGAAATTTGCTGAAACTTTCAAAGAATCTATATTACATATTGTCATTATGCACCTCTTATTTTATTTTTCAATCCGACACATATTTTGGGTTTCCATCAACAAACACTCCTAATATTCATATGGGAGGCGGGGGTATCATTAAGTGAGCTCATTGCTAACAGTGCCTCTAGTTATATTTACGATTTATATCTATAAGCCTTTTGACTAATCAAAGAATTGATTTTGGTAATTGGAATATTTTCTCCAAAAATTTGCAATGTTGACATATGTCTTTCACGACATTGCAGAATGTTGCGGGTGTTCGAGAACGATGTCACTTCAAATCTTTTAAAAGATTAGTCTACCAAATTTAGAGACAAACCTCGTTAAGTTTTAAATTCAACTCTTTGTATCAAAGGCAAACCTTAAAACGTTTTACCATCTGCAATTGTAAGACCAATGTTCCAATTTTTGAGAGAGTACTATAATAGAATTAAAACGTCTTTTCAGTACAATTGGAACTCCGTACTGAATCAGTCAGAGCAGTAATAATACCGGGAATAGTACAATGGAACAGAATGGATTGAAAATTGGACTGACTCTTTCTATGATTATAATTGGATTATTATAAGCTATAGACTTAGCTGTGTACTACCGGCAGACATGGTGAGATTAACAGAAAATTTTTGTACTTAATAAGACACACCTATTTTGTATAGTAGAGGTGTCAGGCAAACTCGGTTTGAGGATTATCTCTGATTCAAAGTATTTTCAATGAATCTTAAGTCCATGTAAAAAAAACTGATCAGGGAAATATTGTTCTACACATTCCTTTTTTATACACGGGCTGCTGGCCTACCCAACTGTAGACATTTTAGTTTGTCATCATTTTTGGCAAACGAAATATTGGTTTGATATTCATTTTCTCAAAACTGAAGCAGTAGACGCGTTTTAAAAGTATTTTACATATATTTATATATAAGTAACCATGTAAATTCTATGTATTGAAAGCAAAAACCAGCTAGCAGAATTATATTCCCTGAGCAAGTCTACTTGTGGGGCAAGTTATATTGAAATCAGACCAAAACTGTAGCAGGAGAAGAGTTTTACAACACCGTTCATCGAAACCAAAACCGCAATGTAGCCTTTTTGTGAGCCAAATCATAATGAAAGTCCAAGTATAATGAAATCAGACCAACACTGCAGGAAGGGAAGAGTTTTCAATGTATTTTACAAATTATTTCTTTGATTATGTAACAATGTCAACAAAATTCATTAAAACCAAAATCAATATATAGTCTCTATGTACTAAGGAATTATTATGAAACATAATGAAATATTATCAAAACCAGTAATGATCAGAGAATGTGTATAACATAAATATCCATGACGGTAGAATCCATAAAAGCCCTGGTCATATATGTATTTTTTTATTATTTACTTTACATACTCTGTGTCTATCAACTTGACCAGAAGATAACGAAGCCGTTGCAACAGTCCTTACAGATCTACAGAGAACAGACTTATTCATAAGTCGTGTAGAGTAGATGTAGATTATTTATTAGATAAACCTCAAGGCCAGTTTTAAACAAGGGTACCCCCATGCCTAGACAATTGTATTCCTGAAATTTTAATGGTTGAGCTGTGGTTCATGTTGCAAGCTTAAACTTCCCTTAGTAGCCTTGAGACTTTTTTTGTTAATCATTGCACCTGCAGTGAGTGGGACGCAATGCCAGTAGAATACAAAATGGATAGAAAAGTGTTACCAGATAGTAGTGCATTGTAGCAGTGCAAAGAAGCTACACTGCATTGTGAGTTAAATGCCTATAAAATCTTGTATAGTTAAATAACTAAATAGAAAGGTGTATCAATAAAAAATTGTGTTTAGAATACAAGAGTAAAAAATCAGCTTTGTCCAAATAGGTCAATATATTACCAACACCCTAATCAAATTAGTGATTGTGGCAGTAAATAAAGATTACTTCCCCCTGGTCGGTAGGTTGCAGCACGGTGGCCTGCCCAGAATGGAATTGATGATCCCAGTATACAAATGGAAGGTGTACCCGAAAAATCTTCAGTAAAGTAAGTATATATGTAGTAGATCTCCCTTCTCTTTGTCTTTTATTTTAGTATCTGAGAGCCCTTCAATTGCTAACTCTGTTCTAATGCCAATTCGAAAACTATGTGATATTAACTCTCTAGTGCCACAAATGAATTGAAGTTTTTGAATATTAATTACAACCTAAACACATTAAAGAAAAAATGTAAACAGGTTTTGAAAATGGGACACGAGCTCTGTTATTGTTCATGTTTTCGCTTCACAGGTTATGTTAAATTGAAAAAAAGGCATCGAGTATTAGAGGTCTATTGTAAGACCGATACCAATGACTATGTTTACGACTATGTGTTTGGTTAAAAAGTCCAATCACTTTGGAGGAGAAAGAATATCGATATTGTCATTGCATCCATAGGAAAATGCCGTTCCTTGTTTTATACTCCAAATTCGTCTCGTTGTCTATACCGTTATGGACAGGTGACATTCTTTCAAGTTTTTCAAGTTTTTGTCTGAACTATCGTTTTATACCAAAACTTGCCCCGTGGGGATCCGGGTTAGAATAGGTCCTCAGTACCCCCTTGCTTGTCGTAAAAGGCGACTAAATGGGGCGGTCCTTCGGATGAGACCGTATAAACCGAGGCCCCGTGTCACAGCAGGTGTGGCACGATAAAGATCCCTCCCTGCTCAATGGCCCTGAGTGCCGAGTATAGGCCTAAATTTGCAGCCCTTCACCGGCAATGGTGACGTCTCCATATCAGTGAAATATTCTGGAGAGGGACGTTAAACAGTATACAATCAATCAATCAATATACCAAAACTTGGCATCTCAAGACTGTACATACTAGTGTGACATATGTTTAATATCCCGAGGACTATCCAAGGGGCACCAAATGAACTTGTCGATTCTGTGTCCCTTATAGAATAAATAGAGTAAGACCATTTTTGTACTGTCAGTGCCATATCATTATTCTTTGTACTCGTGAAGGAATAGGTACCGAACGGCAAGTATTCTTGGGTTGCAGAATGTTGACCAGCAGAAATACAGGTTCTGTTATTAGAATGAAATATTTGGATAAATAAAATGATAAAATGAACTCCAATGCCAATTAAATAGCAAAAATAGGAACAGAGCAAACACGAACCTCTGAAAATCAGAAGAGGGTTTAGGTGCCATAGAGAAGTGAACATCACCTGCCGACCAGTCACAACCCAGTGTGCTTCTTGTCATGTTTGGTAACGAACGGAAAAAATCTATCAAATATTCAATGTGTAAATAATGGCCTTACTCTCAATATGAAAAAAAAAGTCAGTCAGCATTTGACTTTATGATAGATTGTTTTTGCTACCAAGGTCATTGTATCGGCCATAGAACTTACGAAATGATGACTTTTAACGAGATTTCTGACATTCTTGCTTGATGCTACTTGTTTGTAAATAAGTTACCCCTTTCCTGATATTTTCTTTTGTAAAACATGCTCTTCCGTATCGAATTCGTAAGCAGGTGATGAAAGTAAGAAAGCTACCGATTGAAAAGTTTTATCTTTTTTTCTAGTAAAATATCAAAATATAAAACAGATATATCAGACTTTTGCTTCATTTGAATATAAAAATAGGTCTGCTAATAACGGAGCGAAATTATTTTATTATATATTTTTTTATATTATGTAAACTTTAGTTTTCAGTTTATGAATTTACTAATTGTCATATTTGTGATATCTAAAAAAAAACTAATTTAAGACATTGCTTACACACACTTTCTTTACGGTGCTTTCTGATGATTTCTAATCTACCTCATATTCATGAATTTGTTAAAATAACATCGAAATCTCTTAGTTGTCTTAAAAAAGGAACAGAGAAATGCTATCTTTCTAAGAATTGTCATGTGTGACTTTGAATGACGATACTATGTTCTAAACAGGAAATATGAAGATATAACATGAAATCAGACACCGTTTCTAAAACCACTAGAAACATTATTTGATTTTTGTAAGAATGTTTCTGTGAAATAAAATGTTACGCATTTCTATCAGTTGGTCTTATTCACCTTAATTATTTTATTGTTAGAGTGCATAGTCAAACATGTGTTTTATGGGAGATAAATTGCTTTTAATTTGCAAGTGTCAAAATGCATGATTTCCGCAATTTGCGGATTTCACTATGGCATTTTGCCAATGCATATACTCATGGATAAAATTAATTATCTTTTAAAGAAACATTAAAGTGATCAACTCAAACTATTTTCTTTTTATTTCTGACAGTCACATTGCTCACTTGAATGACAAATTCCATTTTAAATTTTGAAATAAAATGTGTTCAGAATATCGAAATAACGTATGTACGAAAGAATTTTTTCCTCTTTACATATGCAAACAGCAATTGTAAAGACTGTTTTTCTTTTAGCTGAATGCTGTTGTTCCTATTCTACACACCTCTGACGTGAATACGTTTATTCAAAAATTATTTTACTCTCATCTATTTGGTACACTACTTGCAAAACAGTTAATCACAAACTGTGCTATAGTTTTATAAAGGTAATTAAACATTTTTTTAATTTTCTTCCTTTCAAGACTAGAATGTTACTCTTTGAAGCATTGAATTTTAAATATATCTCACTAGTATACAAAATAATTAAAGCAAAATCCATACTGGATATGTTACAGGGCTGTCATTTCAAATAACATTTGCAAATATAGTTTTAACTTTTAAATATATTGAGTTTTAGATGAAGCTCTCTCTCTCTCTCTCTCTCTCTCTCTCTCTCTCTCTGTTTTTGAAGTAAACACTTTGTAGAGAATTTACAAATTATATAGTAAATAAGTATGATTAAGTAGGTCTGGTTATATGAAAGACTGGTTACTTTTTCTAGCCTATAAAGCAAATATATTTCATAATTAGAGGGGAAAAGTTGTAAATGAATCATGAAAGTCTTTTTTTTTTTTTGACAGAAACAATGCAATATGTCAAAAGATGAAAAAGGAAACATGCGTGTTGGTCGCTTTCATTAAAAGTCTGGTCTGAGATAAAGCCACGTCGTGAGACATTAATGAGATGTCCATTTCATAAATATTTCAGAATCACCGAGGATTTAATAAATATAAGCTTTTTAAAAAATATTGTTAAAAACTTATTTTCGAAAATTAATATTTAAATGCATTAAATCTTTTATATCCTTATAATTACATACGTAGATTAAATTAACAAGGTGAATGATGATACGACCAACCGTGGTTTGTGAAATCTTGACAAGTCTTCAAAATAGGTACTTTACAATAATGGAAATCCCAGTCAGCAAAATAAAATTCCCTGTAGTGGGAGGGGCCAGCAACAACTATAAAATGAGAATATGACAAATTTTATCTTAAATTATTTTAAGGACGTATACAAAATGTTTGGAGGAAGTACTGCCATATTGGTGTTTGTGGCCCTGTTCTTGGTAGCCCCAAGTGAAGGTAGGTCAATTAAAACAGGGCTTTTTAAGTTGTAAATGTCTTGAATGATTGTTTTATAAATATGTTAACTGGCAAAAAACAAAAGGAAATTGTCGTCAAGTTCAATTTTTTAAAGAATAAAATCTATTCATTATACTATAAGCACCAGGCAATACAAAGAAAAATACACTTATCCTAATGTTCAACATATTTTATTAAGCATATCTATTTTATAACGTGTCCAGTTTGTTTCAAATTTTCAATAAATATTTTTGAATTCTAAATGCTTCTATATTATGAAATAAATCGCCATGTTCGGATATAAAAACTTGTGTTTGATACACACATATTGCTTATTGGAAAAATATGAAATATCTGAAGAAAAAGTGTTGATCATTACCCCCATAATGTAAAAAAAACAATATGTTCTTTCTCTTTCTCTCTCTCTCTCTCTCTCCCTCTCTCTCATCTTCTATATCAAAACAACTTTTATCCACATTTAGAGTTTAAATGTGTATGTCTTTATGAAGGTTTGATATCTGTATACAGTATTTATGATAGGTACTTGAGTGAAGATATATGTATGAACATACTTTTATACTATGTGATATACGTGTGAAATTTGAAAAAAAGGCTCATATTTGTGTGGATTATCACTGTTTCCATCTATTGATTGTATAATAAGATTTTAAAGGGGAAAAGAAAAGTGTCAGTTGATGTGAAAAAATAGTACATGTATACATTTCGATTCCCTCTTAGGACGTTATACCAACAATGGGTGTGCCTGTATTCAAGTATGGGATCCTGTGTGTGGTGTAGATGGACAGACGTACTCCAATACTGCATGTCTGGGATGCGCGTATGTTAAAAGACTTTTTAGAAATATAGTTCCTCTCTATTGATGGATGATCAAATAACCTAAACTTTAACAATTTCCGTTCTATTAAAAGCTGACATAACAAATACTATAGTATATAATAGAAATGGTTCAACAATCTCGTTTTCCACCAACATGAAAGGGAGATATTTAACTATAATAATTATAGTACGAACAGTTAAATTCGTGATTCTTACAGGATCAAAATCCTTTCAACAGGGCAAAGTTTAAAAAAATACATCCTTACCATTATTATATTGAAAAACGATTTTATACAAAATAAATGTTGCATTCGTTTTCTTTTTTCAACAGTGGTATCCCCATGGCTTGTAGGGGAGAATGTCCTTGCTACAAAGGCTACTGAACATAACAGAACCAACACTTTAAAGTAATCTCACCCGTGACCTAAATATTTAGTGTATTGGTCTCTTATAACTGTAAAAATGAATTTCCTTGTTTAATAAAAAAGTGGTATTCTAAATATAATTATGACTTTTTTCCACTCTTCTTTCATCCGACTCACCTGTCAACATAGCAGCTTTACAAAGTTTGGCCAACAGAGACATTATTTTACAAAAATGAAAATATTCAACTCAATTTAGAGCAAAAAAGCTCGTTATTAAAATGCGTTGGATAGAAAATTCCTCACAAATGGTGGTTCCTGTGGTTAGAAATTTAAAAAGATATGGATTCTTCGGTTGTTTCCCCTGTAAATATTACATGGTTCTTCAAGTAAATAGTACTGGAGTTCTTTCACCCCAGGATATATACAACTTTGGTTGAAGTTGGTCGAGTGGTTCTGGTGAAGTCGAAATCTGAACTATTAAAAGAATGCACACGGCAGTCTGAGAGATGTTCAGACAAAAATTTGGAATTTTTATTTTGAATTTTTTGAAATGTCATTTCTTACAAACTGAAGAAACTGCAATAGGAACAACAGTTGCACCGACATATGTAACACCTACCCTAGGTTACCTAGAATTCACACTACACTAACAACTCATAACGTTATGGGGAGAGATATAGCCAATGATTTTAAATCTAAATGGAAATAATTTGTATATGAGTTATTCCCTTTGAACACACACATAATCCCGTGGGTATCCGGGTTAGAATAGGTCCTCAGTACCCCCTTGCTTGTCGTAAAAGGCGACTAAATGGGGCGGTCCTTCGGATGAGACCGTATAAACCGAGGCCCCGTGTCACAGCAGGTGTGGCACGAGAAAGATCCCTCCCTGCTCAATGGCCCTGAGTGCCGAGCATAGGCCTAAATTTGCAGCCCTTCACCGGCAATGGTGACGTCTCCATATCGGTGAAATATTCTGGAGAGGGACGTTAAACATTATACAATCAATCAATCATAATCCCTAGAACCAGAACACCAACTCCATTGTTTACCAACTGAAACCGATTCTCAAAGAGGAGCAGACAACAAAGAGAGTTTATAAAACCATACAATTTATATCAAGTAGGCGTAAATCCAAAAACCTGAGAAAACTCAAATATCACTCTAATTTTGAAGGAAACAATTCAATAACTAAATGTAAAAATCCTTTTTGTCTCGAACCATTTTCATCCAAACAGCTCAGCGAAGCTTGTTTTTGCTTAAACTGACATATACAACAGGACAATTATCTGAGAATGAAATCAGTCATTTATTACAAATAACAAATGAAGGAATATTGGATCACAAACAAAGGGGAAATCAGCTAAAATAAAACATTATGAAATCTAGTTACATAACATTTCATCACAAAGATATCCTGGTTTCCCCCCATTGCTGCGGAACCTGTAAGTAACTGAAGGAACTTTTGTATAACTGAAACGGCTGCAGATTTACAGAGAGCGCCAATATATAGTGTGATACACAAAATGTTTCAAATGAGTGTGATAACCTGTCCATGTTGTAGTGAATATTATAATGGTGAGACGAGCAATCTCCTCGTCCTACATCAGCCCTCGGGCCTTAGGCCCTCTGGCTGATATTGTTGTCTCGGTGTGATAAAATATGTAAGACGGAAAAGGCTATGTCTTTAGTGCATGTGTATATACGAGAGGGTACGTCTTCAGAAAATTATGAACAGAAAATTAAGCAAGCACGTGTGTGTATTATATTTTAAATATTTCAGTTTAAAAAAATTTTCACCTAAGATATTATTCTGACAATTCAAAAAGATTCAAAAGAAAGAAGGAAAGTGAGGACTCACCCTATAGTTCATAATACCAAAAACCCTTTTTTGCAATAAAATTAAAATCGTGCGAATTTCTTCTATGATGATGTCCTTAAATGATTTCTTGCTATGTTATTCTTTTCTGTCCTACTGTAGACGAATCCTACTTTCCGGTAAAACTTTTAAAACGATTCCTTATTATGTTAGATTATGGGGGATATTATTGGCATGCGCACTTCCTTAAAAATCTTTCACTGAAATGGATGAAGGACACATGATAAGACAACTTGGTTCATTCACAGTCTCTAATAACTAACATTGTTTATGTAAAAAGAAAACACGTTTTAAACATGTTAAACGAAAATTACTAACATACAGTCAGGTCATTTTTTAAAATTTAATCAACTTATATATGAAAAACTAAAAAGTTAAGACGTTGTGTAAACATTTTCAATCCATTCAGTAGATTCATTCAAACTTTTGTTTCCCTACATATGTGTCCAACGTGTCGGTGGTGTCAACGACAATCTGTTAGAATAACATCATATTCGGTGAAAACAGGAAGATTATTAATTCAATAGTTCATATTTAGTATTTTAAGTGGCACAAGGGTTGATCCAAAAGTAATGTGAAGTACCCATATCTTTTATATTTGGCGTCATATTATTAAATACAAAATACGAAATATGCAGATATACAAATCTTTTTAACATTGACATTTTGGTTTCTTAATATTATATCAAAATTCATTTTATGGATATTTTTTCACATGACGCATAGGGGGGGGGGGGGGGGGGGGGGCACAACCAAAATTCACGTTTTAAACAGATCTTTTGGGATGAAAAGAGCGTAGATATTAAAAAAATATCTAAAAAAACGAGCCTAAAGGCGAGTTTAAAAGTTTATAAAGATATTGATGACCTACATTGCTTTTAACAAAAATTTATTTTCTGTATATTATTATCCGCATAGTGTTCATTCAACACTATTATGTTTGAAGTTTTTGAATCAAATGTTCCTCAATTTTATTGTATAAAGAAGTTTCTGTTATCAAATATTAAGTTTATTTATTTTGCAGAAAAAACTGGAAATCAAAGACATAAAATCTGGAAAAGAATTGTCAAAGATATTTTAAACTGAAACCGAAGTATTTATCAGTTAGAATATCCCGTGGTAAAATTCAAATTCAAAAGGTCCTACAATTAGTATGAACAAGTCAGACAAAACAAGATCCAATGCTTTTATATTTCTGCTAATACAGTCATTATAACGACCATCGAATTTTAGAAATACTGGCTTTAACCTATGTAATTGAAATGCTTGTAACATCAGTTTATCTGTCAATAATCTATAATGGTTTGAAATCTTAAATCCTAAATCAACAGCAAAGATATTCAAATTCTTATCATTAAACTGAATGTAAAACACTTTCTTTAAACCTGAAAATGATAATTTAAAGGAAAACATGGAACACAGATGATAATTCATGAACATATATAGTAAGTGCATTGGCCTGGAACATATTAAGGTCAGACGAGACGTTCCTCAAAATCTGTTTTGTATATCTTCGTAATGTATGAAAAATATTTTAAATTTTAATAACATTCTGATTTCTAAACCAGTTTCTAAACGTTTTTTAAAAATCCAAACACTTAAACATTCGAAATTGGAAAATTATTTTTCGTCTCCAAAGGATTATATAAGAAAAACTACTCCTGGTATCTTGCAGAAATGCCTGGTAAGGTACCTCAATTTTTTGGGAGTAAAGATGTTTAAGTAGCAATACTTCAATGACAAACTCCTAGAAAAATTTATCTATTATTAAGGAACGTCTCGTCTGTCCTTAAAATACCTTTTTTTGTATTTTTTGAATGAACTTTTATCATCTTCATTCTCTCACGGTAGCTAGCCCAGTCGGTAGAGCGTTCGCTCCGGATCCGTGTTCAGAAGGTCGTGATTTCGAATCTCGGCCGCGCCCATCCTGCATGTAAGTTAGCAAATGCTCCTTCATTATGTGCTCGGCTCCTTTAAATGAAAGTTGTGGGTCCTTGAAATGAGACCTTAGGAACAGAGCTTCTCGTCACGGTAGATGTTGGTACGATAAAGATCCGTCGTGCTCAATGACAATAAGTGGCGAGTACAGTTCAAAATTTCAAGCCCTTCCCCAGTTTATGGTGACGTCTCTATATAAGTGAAGTATTTTCCATTCGGGCGTAAAACCACATACAATCTATCAGTCGTTATCTTCAAATTCATTTCATTCTTATCATTCTTAGAATCAAACATCTGAAAAAGATTAAAATTGCAAAAGCAATAAAATGTGTTTTGTGAGAATAATGGACCTTTTGCATTTTCAGTTAATTTACAATTGTAATATATTTCTTCTACAAACATGTGCAACGATCTGATATTTCAAAAAAGTTGTCACTGACATTGCCATCACATCCTTGCTAACTTTTCTATCATAATTTTTACTTAAATATATCGAAAATTGAAATCGTTTTTGATTTATTAATTAATTATTTTGAAAATAAGTTTCCTGGTCTTAGATTCGGTTATAAATTCAATGTTGTGTACACTAGCTTGCTCTTAGTCCAAGCATTGTGTTTCTTGAATATTCATGCATATAAACACATTTCCGATAGCGATCACAGAAAAACGTACTAGATGCTGTCATGAGAAAATACATGTACATGTAATACCCGTACTAAGGTGTTTGCCTCTACATACACACTCCTTCATATTGGGCTTTCCAAGGAAAAAGTCGATATAATTCCAAGATTACCCAGTACATGTATTCGCCAAATCGAGCATAAAATTGTCAGGTGATCAATGAGCATCTTATATATATTTCATATGCTTAATTCATTACAAGTCTGAAATAACAGAATTTAATTAGTGATATAAATTAGATTTTCGTAAGTTTTTTGCCCATAATAATGGCACTTTTTAAATTTATTTTCTCAACAACATCAAATAATATTATTTTACGTCTAGTAAAAAGCTTTTTTCATGAATTTATCAAAATTTGCAATTTTTTTTTTACATTTGTAGTATTTGGTCCGGCAAAAAAAAAAGACATTGAAAATCCAACCCAAACAATTTTGTCACCCACCCCCTACACACACACACGCACACCCGTTTTCTGAAATAGGCCTAGATAGCAAAGTTATGTTAAAACATTATTTGTTATGATGATTTAATTTTTATTTTTGTAATATAGATGCATGTGAAAACTTTTTATAATTTCTATAACACATTGGGTTTACGTCACCCATTATCATTTTTAGATAGCACCACTCGGCACACCTCGGCCGATTCGTACTTTATCTGATGAAGGCGATGGAATCATCCAAGGTTTTCCGAATGAGATAGCACATGCTGATTGTGCAGTGTGGTGTGTATGTATCAGTTGAAATAATTCACTTTGTTTTTTATTTGGATTATATTTCATGGAATTGACAGGGCCTATGACAGTCGGTAAGTACAAGTTTATGCATAGATTGGAGTAAAAAAAAAACCCGAAATGCACATGGTTATGTTAAAGTTCAAAAAGGGACAAAGATCATCGCATGCCACAGTAGACAAATTTCACATTCTGAAGTTATCTCCAGCTGTCGACGTGACATTCAGTTACAGGCGCAGATCCAGAATATCTTTATCTGGAAGGGGGGACAGGGTTCCACACTTCAGTCAAAAAAATCCAGCCCAGAATTTCCTGAGAAGCAAAGAAAAAAAAACAAATAAATATAATAAAAGTAATGATAATGGGGTTCATGTTTTCTAGGGGGATTACGTCCAAAGTCATCTTTATTTGCTTCAGTATACAGTCCTATCTAAATAATTCTAAGTTACAGGGGCGAGGGTCCGATCTCCCTAGCCAATCCCTGTACCTGAAATGATAAATGATCTCGTGGCTCCAAAGTAGTAGAATATTTTTTGATTTGACTCTACATATTTTAATTGTTATCCCCGCACTTTCTAAAGAAAGTTCACGTATATTGTTGTTACTCATGTCTGTCCGTACGTCTGTCCGTCCGTTTGTCAGTCTGTCACACTTTTCTTCTGTAGGCCTAATCACCTTTTAGGAGATGGTTGATGGTGTCATGTAGATGTGCAGTAAGGTTTTGGAATTTCAATTTGCCTTTGGGGTCAAACGGGGGTCAAAAATGACGTTTTTATGCAAAAACTTGTGTGTACAATCAGAATGTTTTAACATGATAATTTTGCAAATGACCAACGACAAAATAAGTAAATGTACGTGTTCCATTTTTATTGAAAAAGCAGCTTTCAATTAAGAGCATGTCTACGAGAAAACCATGCAAAAGGTTATGGGAGCAAGGTTCTCTGATCAACTTCATATTTTGTGTGTAAATTTCTTCTATAATATGAAATATTTTGCCACAAAATTTTTTTCAGTGTGGTCTCACTTAAGGGAGTAAATCGACATTGTTACTAAAATAGAATTCTTGGTCCTTACACAGGTTGAAAACAGGAATTTCATAGGATTTTATATTCAAAAATTCAGCATTTTATTTAATAATGATATAAAATATCCCTATATGGTTGAAAGTAACAAGATACACTTGTTTCAGAAAATTTTTCATAATCACAAACTTTTCCCCCGTTTAAGTGCAAAAAGGTCACAAATCTGGCATATTTCCAGATTTTTGAAAACTGGTGAAAATACTCACTTTTCCAAAACCTATAACTCAGAAAGTGACGCTTAGAATTAACTCAATCATATACCAATTATTAGACAACATGTCTTTCTACATTGTATAAAAAATCTGTCTTTGGACTCTCAAATTTTTGGCTGTACTTTTTACTTCAAGTTGTACATTTTTTTTTCAATTTTTCAAATTATCTCATCCTTGAACTTCAGCAGGAGTTTTTTGCTTAGTTAAATATTTTCAAAAATTTAAATTTTGCTTTTGAAAAATACCAGTATGTTGTACATTTTTGTTCTTAATCAATTTAATTATTTCTTAGGGGTTAAATGGGGTTAATGGGGGGGGGGGGGGGGTGTACCTGAACTGTATTATTTTACAGTGCTTTGAAAAGGGTGATATTCACATACTGCTTAGCACTGTTTGTCAGTCAATAGACCAAGTGTGTTCTCTCTAATCTTAGAAGAAAAAAATAAATTTGCTCAATAGATAATAAACACAGTACTACAGTACACTGGTACTTACAAATAAGTAGATGGCCCCTTTTAAATTGGAGTTCACAAGGTCAAAGGTCAAGGGTTACAATTCTCTAGATATACCAGAATGTAGATTTTAATCATTCAAAATCTTGAGTACCCATTGCTTCACAGACATCAAATTTAGTATACTGGCTTCTTGAAAAGTAGAGAACCCCTCTAGATTTTGAGGTCATAATGTCAAAGGTCATAAGTCAAACTGAACAAAAAGGAATATCAGAGCCATTTTCTTGACAGAAATATTGTCATGGCAACAAACTCAAAATGAATGAACACCATGTTTTTAAAATCAACAAATTAGGACATTTCTAATTTTTAATTTCATTGCAGATTAAAATTTGAATATTACTCAATAACTAACAACAACAAAAATTACAATGCTTGACTGCTTCCTGATATTTTATATTCACTTCCAAAATTAAAATGACCTTGAAATTTTGTATGCTTGAAAAAATTCTACTTGCTTAAGTATACATCATTATTCTAAATTAAGATAAGATTTAAAAGAAAAAAGTCACAGCTTCCCAAGTCATATTATGAATTATTTGCTATACCTGTATACAGGAAATTAGTCTTTATAATAGTGTTATATTTGGTAAAACAAAAGCACTGTTGACCTTGATCTTTGACCTTATCTAACAAACAAACACTGAAAATTTACTCTGAAATTTTGTGTATTCTTGCAAGTGAAACCTGATACATGTTAAATATTAAGATGTTAATAATGTTGAAGTACATGTACCAATAAAATCGTACAAGTTAATATATATGAAATACCCTGAAATATTGGTCACTACGCAACCTTCTTCAAATATAAACTGTCTTTTTTTCTTCATGTTCGGTACACCATTTGGGTTGATCTTGAGGTCTCAAGCTTTCAAAATCTATAAGGTGTATCCAAACTATTCTGTTCAGTATGACCCCATTTTCTTCCTATGTAGCATCCAATAAGTTCTGGAGAAAATTTAACAAGCACTGAAATTTCCACTCCTGGTTTAAAGAACAACTGGACTGTCTCCAAATACACAAGAGTAGTACTCAAAGCATGTACCTGTGAAAAGGACAGTTTTCAGATTAAATTGAAATAAACCATACTTGACATATTCTAAGATTTTTTAAATGAATGTCATGTTTATGATAATGCTACATTTATATTTTCCAATTTAAGAAAATGTCATCAAATGACTTGGGTAAGATTATTCACAAATTCTTCTGGCTATCTTTGAAAAAAAACAAGAGCCTCTTATCTTCTTGAAGTAAAGTAACAGAATAGGGAAAAATGCATACAGCAAATTGACAGACAGACAAGGCAATTCCTATACTATAGTATTATACTATTATCTTTACCATTTTCTCAGCAGTGGCAAGTAATTGGTCATGCTCATGCTGCAACTGCATTGTCCCTCCTCTTCTTATTTCTGGATTCTGTTCACAAAATTACATTGGAAACCCTACATAGTAATTCTTTAAAGCTCAACAGCTGAAAATCCCATTGTAAAGCCCAGCCCTATCTAAGGAAATGAATATGAATAATCTGAAATTGCACGAGAAATATAAGAATGAAATGAAATTTTCTTTACAAAGTACAAATTCCCAGTCTTATATTTATAATATCAGTTGTTTTAAACACAAACCTGTCAAGGAACACATGGTGCCCTTTGAATTTGAAAAGTCTGCAGTCTGCACAAGTATTTGACAACTCTTTTTCCCAAATAAATGTGATCTTCCATAAAGAAAATTCTACTATTCCATGAAGCCAAAAATCATAACTGTAGCTATTTTCATGACATCTCATAAATATCTGAAAAAAATATTGTGTTTAATGAGATTCTTTATAATCATGCATCCTGCATATGAGGCAATTATGGTGATTTAACTGACAGTGAAGACCCACCTATCCAATTCTTAATTTACCCTATTAGTAAACAGTCTTTGAAAACCCTGGACCTATTCAAATTTTCCTTCCCTCTTCATAACCCCACAAAGGCTACTTAGATCTCTATGCTATTTATAATTCAGCAGATGTGAATATGTTGCATACATGTATGTATTTTGCAATATTGTTGAATTTATACAGATATTTTTATTGCTTCATGTACATGTACCAACCTTAAATTTCTCTTGACATGTTTGCTAGGTATATATTCAGGTCCAGTACAATCACTAGATTTAGCTACGTAGGTAGATTTTTTTCATAGAAATAAATAACTTTGGTAGCTAAATAAAACTACTTCAGGTAGCTAAATAAAGCTAAAGTAGGTAAATCAAGCTACGTAGCTAAATCTAGTGATTGTACCAGACCTGATATTGTCTTGTAAAAAATCTTCTCTCGTAATTAATCAAGTCCCCATCAACATTGTTTATTTATTTATTTTTTACATATCAATAAGCCTTTTTATAATGTACATAGTATTATAAGATCCAACTACATGTACCTGTTTCACTTTCAAATTCAAACGTTGTTGATTCGGTATCATCATCACTACATCCATCTCGCTACGAAATGAATGTTCGCTGTCAGAATCATAGTACAAAACGTCGCAGGAAGCCATAATGTTTACACGTGGTTACGGAACCGTACATCGATCCCGATGGATTTCATAATATTTTATGGCTACTAGCACATGATATGTAACAAATTAAATTCACAGGAAGGACAATTTTCTTAAAACCAAACATAATGCATGCCTAAAACGATTAAATGACAGACATATCTTCATAAACATAATCATTATCTACCTTCTCTACAGAAGAGTGCAACAGGGGAGATAATTCTTACAAAATCTAAAATAACTGTAAAATACGTTTTTTTCACATAAAAAGCAGGGGGAAATTGATTTATAGCTTGTATAAAATTAAAAATAATTTTTATTGTTTATATTTGTAAATACATTGCACAAAATTCATTTAAATTACTGTAAAAGTTAAACTTATAAAATCACCATTTTTTCCATCATTTGAATTTGAGATGATTTTATTACGATGTAACTTTTATGTTCTTGAGAGTCCAAAGGTGGATTTTATATATTGTTGAGATAATATCTTAGAGATTTTTAAATGAACAAAATTTTGAAAAAAGAAGCGTCACGTTCTAAGAAATATATCCTTGAATATTGACAAAAAATGAATCATTATCATTTCTTGGCACCATGCCAATATTTGTGCTCTTGGGGCAGCCTTTGATACAGGGGTATTACAAAAATTTTGATTCCAACTTAATCTTATGACTCAGTTCTGTGAGAGAACATTGCCCTTTTTTAAATATATTTCTTTT